TTAAACCTGTAGTGCTAATTTACTATCATTATTTATAGTTAGACCGCTCGGAGTTTTTGTAACTTGTTTCCCACGACTCGGAAGGGTGCTTGTGATGACAACGTGATTTTTAAATTGCAGATCTGAATATTTTTGAAATATCCTTTTAAATTGCAAGTGCTTCTGTTGGATATCAAGTTGGAAATCAAGAAATGGCCACTCAGTCAAAACAGAAGAAGTTAAAGGGTGGACGTCAGAAATTAAAGCTTTTTCGGGCAAATGAGCCACTTAAAAGTGTACTGATGTGGGGCATCAACCACTCTATAAATACCCTCCAGCATGTGAAGCCCCGAGCTGTTCTTCTGAAAGACGACTTCAAGGCCTACTTGAAGATAAAAGTCACTGGACATCTTTTTAACAAGCAAGTTTTTCCGAGCCATTTTGACTCTTTGTAGAGAAAACATGCCTAGCAGATTCAAGTTCAAGGAGTACTGTCCATTGGCCTTTCAGAATCTGAGAGAACGCTTCGGTGTGGATACCAACGATTATTGGGTAACTTTAGAATCCTTTTTGACATTTCAATGTACTTTTCGTCCATAACCACTCATTAAAACCTCAAACCAACCTTTATGCACAGATTTGGTTTAAGAAGAAAGCCATGCTTTATCTTTGGAGAAATGTCTCCTCTAATTACTGAACTATCTCTTATCCCACAGCACTTCGATCTTTTCCACAAATTTTTGTCTGGTTGAGCTTAGCCACCTAATAGGTATGCAGGTCATGGATCATTCATTAAGACACCACGCAGTTACAGTGAAGTCCGTTGTTAAAAAACACGGATACTATTGGATGATGCGTTCACATTACTCTAGGCAAATGAAGCATAGAAAGATTTCAGGAGCTAATACAACAATCCCCACTTGTTGCGTTTAATAGTTAAATATTTCTGCTTAGAACCCCGCCTAACCTATTACGGCCTCGTCATCATCAAACCCGTTCAATTCCCTTGCCGGTGCCTCTTCTATGACGTTATGTCCAGTTACCTGACCCTTTTGAAGGGTTGCGCCGATGTACTTCTAAACTAAAATGGGGGCCACTAGTGCTTGGGAGAAGGAATAGAGAGTGAGCCTGAGGTTGGGGTACCCTTCCTCGTGACAAATCTATGCGTTCTTGTAATCCATCCGCCACGGGCACGCAGGTGAGAGAAGGCGAGCAGAATTGGATAGAGAGCACGCTGGAGTGGGACTTACAATTCGTGGACCAAAGCTGAAATTCCAAGGGAGCA